TTTTTGCATTTCTAGACAATCATGGTTCTATTCAGTTTTCTTGTACTGTATAATATTCCTGCTAATGTTGCTCATGAAATATACAGTTCAAGTATGATAATCATTTCATTCTACTGTCGTTTTTACAGCTGTACATATGGAGTATTCTGTAAAGAGTGCATGATGACATGCAAACAATACTGAAACAGGGTAAAACAACATCTTCAAAATATATATTAAAATCATTATCTTTGTTGCTCATTTACAACTCATGTATCTGAATGTTTCATTTCTATCATTGTAGTTTGCTCTTGTAATTTAACTTAAACAATGAATATCATTGAAAATGATTTCAATAAATGTCCGATTGAAAGTACTAGTCATAGATATTGATGCAAGAATATTTTGAGATGTCCAATCATTTTCAAGCTTATCTTTGAAGGATAAGTCAGTAATCATACAGTAAAACCTCTTGATTATGAACACCATTGGAGTCGGTAAAAAACGTTCACAATATGGAGCTGTTCGGTTTAGAGAGTTTATACATGATTTGCTGTGAAATGAAGAGAAGCTTCCAGAATATTTACGTCTACACTAGCTTTGAATAAATGCTTTACGATTTATTCCCTTACTTATCTATTTTCATTAAAATAATATGAAGTGAAAGATTTTTCAATTGAAATTCAAGATTTTTTTTCCGAAAAGTCCTTCAATTTTTTTTGTCTTTTCGTTTTTCAATTATTATCGATATCAATTAGTTTTGATTCTAATCCAATGATTAATTCCATTTTTTATTTGCAAACTAAGCTCGTGTTGTAATGGTATTATGTTCTTTATGGGTACAATAGTAGATTCATAAACAATATATACTTAGCCATAATACAAATGACAGGTGAGAGACAGTCAGAAGAGACCCAAACAACATTGTACGTGTGTTTACATTAAAAAGAGAGAAAGAGGCATATCCAGCGAAAATCGCTCTGTCGAACCCTGAGGCCGTTCATAATTAGGAGGTATTTATAGGGTACGGATGTAGATGGAACACCCACCCTACAATATCCTTTCTAAATGACAACTTGATAATGAAATTGACAATGAGGAATGAAAAAACCAACTCGACGATGTATATTCTTAACTGTTAATGGCAGAAGATAAAATGAGTAGTGTCACAAACATTGAATTTACAAGAGACGGCAGAAAATGACAAATGAATCTTTAGTATTTGAATGGCCGAGAAAGTAATAATAAATATATATATACAATGATAAGTAAGAGTTTACTGAATAAGTTTTCAGAGCCGTATTTATGAAATTATAACATGACGTACGACACAACTACTTGAATTTTACATCAAGACCCTCCTTACATTAGTGGAAGTTTGTTACCGGATCATAAAAAAAAACGCTATGTTTAAGTATCAATTATAGCTTGTGATGACACTATGCATGTATATATCTATCATCAACGTATCTCATATTCATTCGAGAATGAGGATGATTTTATTTAATAGATAATTATAAAACAACTAGCATGACACAATTCCGAAATGTACTTGACAAGAATCATTTCAAATACGTTTTACTATCAAAGAATGTACCAAAATCTCTAATATTATGTTAGTTAGAAATATAAAACTTAAAATAAAATATAACATATGTTATCATAGGTTATAATTAACTTCTAATATGAATGCCAGGAAACTACATAGGATAACAATGAAGTAATGTTAGAAGATGATTTAATATTAAAAATTACATCTAATAGAAAAATAGAGCATATGGTGAATGAGATGATTAATTGAACATCATCTAATAGAAAAAAGAGGAACTGCCGATTTGAGTTTTAGATTGTTGTTATTATTTTTGTTGAAGTAGATATCGATAATATAGTATGCATAGTTAGGGGAACAATGGTTTATAGCTGGGATGTTATCAATTACCAATCATGAAAGTATATAGATGAATGGAGAAAGATTTATATACTGATTGATTGTATATGATGAATAATATAATATTAGTATAGAACTTCACTTTGAAAAGAAAAGATGAACACGTTAATGAATAAGTTTTTTCATTATAATGTTTTTTCTAATCGCTTCTGTTATGGGTTGCATTCTTCTCAATGTACCTTGTAGAAACTTCTTGTGAATCAGAAAATTTTTTAAAGAACAATTTAATATTATATTGAATATTGATCGAGTCGGTTTGCGATGTCATTCTGAATAAACCTAGGATTTTTCTCATATTCGGCGATATCCTTCCTTAAAATTTAATGATGGTCCTATTTCAAATGTACAATCAAAGATAAATTTCATTTTTAATATTATTCATACATCTAGAGAATATCATATTTATAAAGCAAATTTTCGTATGATATTTAATAAATTGTGGTGGATAACTATTCATTAATAAAATCATACTTCGGTACCAGTATTAAAGTCAAAAACATCTCAAAATCAATGCTTCGATACCATACTTTCAAAACCTATTTTTGCTTTGATACATGCCTAATGTAAGAATTTGTAAATTTTCTTGGACTGATTGTCTTCTGTAGATATGCAAAAGCGTGAAATATTTAAAACTATATTATTGTTTGAAATTACTCAGCGTGTTAAATTTAAGTTCCGAAAAACCTGAAGTGTTCAGAATACATAGCATTCAGTGACTGTTGACATAATCCGGCTAAGATAATTAGCTTGATTATTGTGTATTTCATTAAATGAATGACTGTTTGAAAAAAAAAGAAATCAAATGAATAGAAAAAAATACATGACGAAGAAGCTTTAATGAATCACAATTACAATATTGAATAAGTCGATGAAAGTATAGAAATTAACAAGAATAAACAACAATAATATTCATTAGAAATTATCAATAGAATTATTTAATTTTCATTTTCTAAAAAAAGCAAACAAAAGAATTTTTTCAATATCTCAAATATAACAGTTTCAAATCCATAATAGAACATTGATCTATAAGCTTATCAAACATTTATCTCTGAAAACCAGAGAATGGTAATATATAATTAGAAAGTTTCGAATTCTGAAAGACTATAGACATTTTATCTATGTATGCATCACATTTCTATCTTCCAGTTAAATAATTCTTACTGTTCTATCATCTTGACATAGTAATCATCCTCGCTGTAATAAATATACGCAATAACATAATTATTAGATTGAACTTCAACCTTAAAATTTCAATTCTATCTAACATTAAGGAGAACTAAATAGTTAAAAAGACATAACTTTTTTTTAATATTGAGAAATTTCATGTGTTTTATTGCCTGAATGACTGATCCTTTTATTCTAAATATAATTTTACTTGTTACATTTATCTAAAAATAGTTCAAATATAAAATCAATCAAGCGTTTTTTTTGTTTCATAGCTGATGTATATTATGAATCAATAATAAAAATCATTCATCATGATTTATTTATTGGTTTTGTTATTGTTACTCAAGGTATTTCAAGGTCTACTTATGAACGATATTTATAAATATGTGATCTGCATCTTAATCCATTTCCAACATCATGTATCAAACAATGAATATATATTATTGTCAAAAATCTGGTTTGAAATTATTTCTTCAAAATAAATGTATTTTTTGTCATATGTAGTGAAACGTCATGAAATCATGAATATCTAATTGTACAATATCTTAATATTCAAGATTGATCATTTATTTACTTTTCTTATTTTTGTCATTGAACAAAAATTTTGAATTTTTTTCGAGTCACAAGTTTTAGACAAATGTTCTGAAATGAATATTACTTTTTATTATTTAGTTAATTCAAACAGTTGTTCGTCAAATGATACGTTGTACTCTTAATAAAATTAATAATAAAAATTATCAAAATATGTTGATTAAAATAGTTCGTCTTAAATTAAATCATGTACTTAATGCTATTTTTTAGAAAAAGACGACAAATGTTGAGAATAAAAAAAAAAACTTATTTAAGAAACAATTACAAAAAAAAATAAACATATTTATTTTTAGTTTTTCTTTATAATTCTCTTTTCTATTTTATGAGAAAAAAAAAATTAATAAGCAAAACACTGTAAAGTGATATACAAAGGAACTAAAAAAAGATGACATTACTCGAAGATTTTCTTTGACATTAATTTTGTTTTAAGAATTTCATCAAAATAGTAAGCAGATTATAATTAATGTTGACATATTCATAGCATCTTCTTACTCTACTAATACATTCGATCTTTAATAATATTTTAGAATCTTCGTCGCAATGATATATATTTCTATCGATAGATCTGATTATGCATCAATAAAGAAATCGATGTTCGTAAAATTTCCTTATCTTTCATTGAATGGTCATAATTGGACTTTATATCTAAATTTGATTTCCTCTTTTCTTTTAATCATATAATATGTTATTAAAAGACTGGTATATAACCTAGAAAATCTGTTTGTATTCTCCGAAGACAATCAATCTAATGTAACTAACAATTTATAAGAGTAAAAAAAAAGAAAAGAACAAAACTTGTCATATAACATAACTCAAATTTCAAAAGCTTAAACACTAGTGGCATTTATGTCGAAATAAAATAAGATTAATATTGATGGCAAATAAAAAAAACTTTCTTTGACATCAAGCAAAAAAACATTTGAATACATTTAATCATTCATGCATTAGGTGTCAAAAATGTTTTACATTTGTCAATATTATTAAGTTTTAACATAATTTTTTGCGTACAAAATAAAGAAATCATGAACAAACTCTTAATAATTATCTATAACAATACTTGAAGTTAATTCTATATGATCAATATAATAAACCAAAACAAACAAAAGTTATCAATTATTCTTGGCTAAATATTCAACCAAACAATATCAATTATGCTATAATAATCCATTCGGATGTTCATACATTTACATTTCTAATTGGATTTACTACAATTAAAAACAAACAAACATTTTTCTTCATTAAAAAATACAAGAGATGTTTATTCGATATTGATAATAAAAATTTACAAAAAAAAAATAAAATCAACAAAAGTTGTTTAACAATCATGTTGATGTACATGTCCATTTGGTGGTACAAATGGTTTTATTTTTCTTGGTATAGCAGCTGGTGTTATACGTCGTCGTTGTTTAGGTAATTGTTGTCTAGCTAATAAATGTCTATTAAAATTATCGAATGTTTCATTAATGATTGGCATTGGTATATCAATAATTAATACACCAAATATTGTTGTAATTGCACCAAGTATCATACCAAGAAGTGATTTTGGTACAATATCACCAAAACCAAGTGTAGTTATTGTTGTTAATGCAAGCCATACACCATCAATAACGGATATTATTTGACTTTCAGATGGATTCATAATACGTTCAACATAATATAATGATGAACCACTTATTAAAATTGCAAGTAAACAAAAAAATATTGATAAATTTAATAATGCTGATGAAGATGTTATTGTTGTTGTTATTATTTTTAAACGTGGATGTAAATTAATTAATTTAAACATACGTGCAACACGTATTGTTGATAGAAGATCTAATGATGCATAATGACCAGTATAATTGAATACATTATATAAGATATAAGTAAAAAAAAATAAAAATGTACCAAGAAAATCTAATAGAGAAAAAAAAATCGTTTTTTTTTTTATTAGATATACATCAAAAAGAATTTGTTTTTCTTTTGTTCCTTACCAATCCAATTAAGTATTGATATACAAAAAACTCTTTTTGATGGAGCGACAATAAATCGTAGAATAATTTCGAATACAAACCAAGAATTACCTAGAATGAGAATATATTGTTTTTTTTGTTTGATAAGATTATTTAAACATTGATTGAACTGATTTTTGTTATTATTCAAGAAGACAATAAGTCATAATACTATCTCATTTTAGTCTAACGAATAAGAGATAAAAAAAAATACTCGATCAGTATGTATTTATCGAACTTGAACAGTAATACTTGAGACTGCGTTCTTTAGATAAGTGTTCAAGCTATTTATAATATTTAAACTTTACATCAATTGGGGCTTTTTGTCTATGCTCTTTTTTTATATTGTTGAATATTTTAGAATTTAAATCATCGTGTACTTTCATTACTATTTCTATTCTCCTATATATATATATATATATATTCTTACAAGTCCATTCAATAACATCAAAGCCAGAAATTGTATCTCTTCGTTGTGAATTATGTACAGGTGTTTGTTCAGTTTGATTATCATTAATATAAACATTAACAAAATCATATTCAATTATTTCAAATATTGATAATGTACGAATAACAAAAGTTGTTATAGATAAAAGAATAAATAATATTGAAATAAATGAAATAATCTTTAAAAAAAAGAAAAGGAAACTTTCAATAAATTATAAATTTAAAGAAACAAAAAAGACTTTCATTTACTTTTGCTGTTATTGATGATCTTGGTTCTTCAAATAATTGCCATATAATCATTCTAATACGTTTATATATTGGTAAATGACCAGATGTTATGAAATGAAAATCATTTTCCCAATCAAATTTTTTTATTAAATCAGTTGTTGTCGATCGTGCTGTTTCTAATCCTAATGAATCAAGTGTTTGAAGTGTTTCTTGTGTTGATCGATGTTTTGTATATGTCATCCTAAGTACAAAAGACACAAAAAATCCAATAGTTTTATTTATTTCATGGTTTTTTCTTCTTTTTGCTTTGATATTTACCAACAACAAGGTTCAACTTCTTCTCGTTGTATTCCCCAATATGAAAGTTCATCTTCAAATAATGGTCCACAAACATTCGTTGGATAGTGAAGTTTTCCTGTACGATAATAATTAAGTATTTGAGAAAAAACACCTGGATGTCGGTCAAAAAAATATTCATTCAATACAGGATCATAATAGGATAACTGTGGTGTTAATTTTGACAGACGTGTAGCTGGTAATTTTTTTAATGTAGCACGTTGAGTTTCAAATCTCATTCCACCAACATTAAGAACAACACGAGAATCATTATTATTATTATTATTATTATTTGTTGTTGTATCAGCAAATTTAACTGTTCTTGTTGAACGCATTCTTTTTTTCTTCTGTCGAAATGATTGATGCAAAAACAAAAAAGAATTTTATTACTAAAAATAAATAAATAAAAAAAACGAAGAAACAAGAAACATATGTCGGAAGTATTTCATATCGTTAATTTTCAATATGTGCTCACCTGTAAATGTTTTATGTATGCATTTCCTTTCTCATTTATTCAACCGTTGACAATCGTTTAATATTTGTGTATTATTAGTTTTTTTTTCTCTAACGCCTCCCTTAGATCTTTTTATCTCTTATTTTTCTCTGCTACTTTTTTCCTTGTCACGATATTTTCTTATTATATGAGAGTATTAATAGTTTTTGATGTTGTTGGCTGAGTATTTCACAGACAGGAAATAACAAAGAAAAGAGAGAGAGAGAGAAAAAATTATTTTCCTTTTTCTCTTTTTTTTTTAATACTTTCTTTATAGTTCACTAGTCAAAAGTTATATAGATATAAATATATACACAGCAGATAACAAATCTATTCAACAAGATTTATTTTCAGTTTTTCTTTTCTTGTCTGTAATCTTAAACGATAGACAGAATTCAATAGAGAAAATTGTTCCGAATAAGAATATTAAAATAAAATAAAATAAAATAAAATTTGTTTTCAAACATTGAAAGATTAAATCTTTAGAAAACTGAAAATTTAGTTCTTAGCACTTGGAATGTGTGAATTAAACTTTGTCTAGACTATATAAATCTGTAGAAAAAATAAATCTTTATAAAATGAAACAACTCCGACCTCTCTACGACGTTTTTTTTCCAGCTGAAATACATCAATCGTACGGAAGCCTCAAAAGCAGCTTTTTTTCTTTTGTTTTATTATTTTCTATAGAAAAACCATTTCTGATTCTTCAATTAGATTACTACATATCAGCTTAAAACTGTCGTAGAGAACCTGGAGATGTGTCATTTTGTAAAGAGTTACTTACTCTATCTTTCTACGTAACAAAATTATATTTTATGAATTCTAGGTGCTGAAAAACTAATTTTTTTCTATTTGTTTTCTTAAAGGCTTAATATTTGAATATCTGGATTATATTCTTGGAAATAATAATTTTCTCTATTAAATTTATTATTTAGATTTTTCTTTCTAGCGGTTCAAATTACAGAAACACAATTAAAACAACGCCTTGTTAAACAGCTTCTGTTACTACTCCATATAAATATATATAATGAAACAATTATATTTAACTAACGAGGGAACCTTTTCAACTGTCCAATCGCTTTTGAGTTCGAA